CATGAATTATGGAACAATTTGGACCTAATTATTGTGTTCCTTTGTTTTGGGGAGCTAGCAGAATTTTCATGTCATGTGTGTTTTATTTGATGCAAGTACAAAGGCTACTAAGTGCTAACAATGATTTGGAAGGTGACTCAAGAAAAGATTCATCTTAAACTGAGATTTCGTTTACGTAAAACAACAATTCACATGAAGTGACATGTTAATTCTTATTAGTGAAGTGGGGGACCCAATTCAAATATGCATTTGGTTGAATTTTGAAACTCGCCTCAACAAATATTCTTATGTGATGAATCACACGGATGAGATATAAGATGGAAGACAATTTCAAAAGCTATAAAAAGAAATATAGATAATAAAAATTGTCAAAAGTAAATAAGAAAAATTAACATAAAAAATCAAATACATGCATCCCATACATGAATATGGTTGTTGTTCAACTTTTAGACCTATGTCAAAACTTATGGGGGCAAACATGTCAAACCATAGGTGTCCATGTCTGAAATTTCAGTATGTGAACACGAAAAATGCCTCCATGTTTGATACCAAAACATGACACATGCTTGGTGAGGTTCATCAGATTATCTACTGGTATGTCGAAAGCAACACATTCATCGGATATAGTGGTAGAGCCACGCACCACAACATGTCTAAAACAAAATGCCTCTAGATCCAATGATTGAATGGGCCAAATGACAAATTTTATATTTATCAAGATAGATTTGGGAAGAGGAAATAAGAATTCCAACTAAAATAAAGCTATTATGCATCTTACCAATTGCTCATCAGTTTATGAATAAATCTAACAAACAGGTCATAAATGACCAAAACAAAATTCATGTCTACAAACAAAGTCTTATAATGTTGGTTATTTGGGGGAACAGAAGAGTAGGAGATGAATTAGGAGGAAAACGCTGAGGTGAAATAATGAGGCTAGGGGAGGGCATATCAAGAGGGGGTGCAGGAGGAAGGGTTTCAAGCTTGGGATGGCGTTGAGAGAGAGGGAAAAGAAAGCAAAGGTAGAGAGGGTATAGGAGCTTGGGAAAAACGAGATGAACGAGCAGTTTACATGTGAAACACGATTGGATGGGTGAAAAGGGGGGGAAAGGGGCACGACAGAAGAGGGCAAGTGTTCACCATCCGTGTAGAGGAAGGGCTCAGAAAAGGTAACTGAGGAAACAATAGGGTCAACGAGTGAAAAGAGGGAAAGGGTGGAGAGTTGCTTGCTAGTTTCCTAAGACCGGAGGGAGACATGGAGGGAGGACACCTAGTGTCACGGGATTGGAAAGGGAAGCAACGATCACATGCTCACCAGGAGGGTTTGATGAAGGACAAGGGACGTGGAGCCATGTGGCATATCCTGAAAAGAGGAAATTACGATAAAGACATCGTTGAGATGCACAGTAGGGGAGGATTGATGGCGAGACAATCGAGAAAGAGCCACGTGGCCATTCCAGATGGGGAGAAAGAGCTGCCTGCTCTAAGGCCAGGGATGACTTGCCTTGGGAAATGGGGTTTATGAAGCCACTTGTCGTCCCATCAGCCTTAATGATGGGAAGCTCGAGAGGTGGTAAAGCTCTTGGGGCAGCAGTTTGCTTAGTACCAACTCTGTTAGCCGCACAATCGAAACTTGGACGCTGATGGTTATTTCTCGACCGTCCTCTATGCGAGACCTCGGTCCATCCATCCTCGTGTTTCAAGGAACATGATCCAAACAGAGGAGGATCGTGGTGTCTGAGATGGCGGGACGATAGGGAAGAGGTGAAGGACCATGCCATGGGAATGTTCAAGAAGAGGCCATCAACTTCAGTCAGATGGAGGGCGGGATGAGGGAAGGGGCCAACGATTCTATGAGAAGTTGGATTGATCCAAGAGGAAGGGTGCCTGAGGACATCTAATGGACCAAGCTAAACTCGTCGCAAGAGTCCCCAATTTATTTGAAAGTGTCGATGTGCCACGCCTGCACGGGGATGTTGGTGGCCTGAAACCAAATTGTTTACAAAACGGCTCCCAGGTACTAATTCCAAACAGAAAGGGTGAGAGATGCCCCATTGAACCGAGAATGGTGTCCTTGCTGGTCACTATTACAACTGACTTCAGATGGGAAAGAGAAAAGAAATTCTCTAGGCAGGTTAGGTCTGAGAAAGCCCAAACTTCCCATTTCCATTTCTCTATACCTTTGATGTCGTACCTGAGGGGGTGTATAGACCTACCGAAAAGGACCTCAAAGCCTTCACAATATGGGAAGAGTGTGGCTCCCCAACTAGAATGGTGAGAGGGGGCGAGGGAGCTCCATTATGGTCGAGTACGAGTCGGGGCTTGCGCGGAGGAAGGCGGTGGTCGAGGGGGGCCCAGGCTAGGGAGAGGAGGGAAAGCACTCCAAGACGGACCCAAGTTCTTTGAATCATCCTCTCTATGTATTTTTAATTATCTCTAATATGGTCAACCAACATTTTTCCTCTCAATCATTGGTGGTGCATGCAAAAAATTACTCTCCAGTTTAGTATTATTACCACAAAAAGTTTTTAATATCTTAAAACATCTTAAAATAATAAAACATGAATTTTAAAATTATAAATATTATTCTTTTACCAAAGTACCTATACATAATTAAAGTAATAACTAAATAAGAAAAACTAACAGAAAAAAGTAAATACATGCATCCCATGTATGAATATCGCTGTTCAACTTCTAGACACATGTCAAAACTTATGGAGGCAAAAATGTCAAATCATAGGTATCCATGTGTGAAACTTTGAGATGTGAACAGGCAAATGCCTTGATGTTTGACACCAAAAAATGACATGCTTGGTGATCCTCATCAGATTGTCTACGCCTAACACACCATCTGAACCTATAACTGAATTTTAATGAAGCTACGTATGTTCTACTTTAAGTGAGAGGAGTAACGACTAAACCCAAATCCATGAAAAGATAGACTAAATTAAATCATTTATAGGAACAACATGTAAAACCAAGTTACATCCTAAACATAATACCCGTAAATTTCCACTATAAAGAAAATAATTAAGAAGATAAAAAAAAAAATCATAATCAACATACAAACTAAGAAAAATTCAACTAGCAATTATATACTAAGAAAAATACCACTTCAAAAGAAAAATGTACTCAGATTCAGGGAAATCGTAGCTGATGCAACTATGGCTGCCATTTTCAGACTAGAGAGCAAGATCTATAGTACCTTCAAAATCTCTTCTGTAGATATTGAGCCAGATGTCCAGTCC